CAGTCCCTCTCGTACGGCCTCCAGCATGTAGGGGATGATGGAGTAGTTCCAGAGGTCAGTGAACCAAACCCTGGATCCCTCCACGTCCATGGGACAGGACAGGAAGAGACGAGGTCCTGCACGCCGCGGGGCAGAGAGTTAAGACACTAATGTTTTCATACATTGATATTATTTGAAAGGCTCTCCTGTGAATTGTGCATCTTCCTCTTACCGATGGTGACGTCAGAGGAGCTGTGCGTCTCCAGGAAGCGGTTCAGGTGGTGCCACACCCGCGGGATCCAGTCGATGATCCTCACCAGCTCCATGTTGCGCGTCCGGCTGCTGATCTCCGTCTCGATCAGCTTCCGCCTCAGGAAGCGGCCGAGGAAGCCTTTCACCGGCTCCACGTGGTTAGCGCACAGCACCCACCTGATCAGAGAACACACATGTGTATCATGAAGGACAGTTTCCACCACGTTGAAATGTATTTTAAGAAAATGTCCAATATCCAGCTGCTCTTTATAGGTGCCGGGTATCATCATCAGTTTACCTGAAGTTGTGGTGAAGCTGCAGGTTGGGGGCGGAGGATGTAGCCTGGCTCATGGTGCCAATAATGTAGGGGCTGAAAAGATAGAAAATCAGAGGTTACATGAGTCCATTGCATATGCACATTTAAAAAATAGTAATTAAGTGACTTTTAAGACCTTTTTAATACCTCTTTAAGAGAAAAAATACTACTACTGCAAAAACTAATTAACAAACTAGCCCAAATGATTTTATTGGTAAAATCAAATAAAAAAATAACCCCTCCCCATCTACATTGTAAGACATTTTTACTTTTAATATCAAAAACAACATTTAGGATGGTTCAGGACATTTTAAGGATCAGCATATTTTCAGCCCTTTCTCAGTAGTTAATTAATGGTTGTGTATCCAAATGTTGCTGCTGAATGTGAGAGTGTGTGTGCGTGTGTGTGTGTGTGCGTGTGTGTGTGTGAACTGACCAGTGCTGGAAGTTGCAGTTGAAGACTCCGTTGAAGATCTCTCCCAGTGAGCTGACGTGGTGCAGGTTGTCCAGGATGACCACCAGAGGGCCTTCCACACCCCCCACACCGCTGCACTGCTCGGCCAAACCAGACAGGTACTGACGCAGCTCCTGAAGAATGGATGTTTCAATACAAGAGTCCAGGGAAAACATCAAAGCCTTTTTGGCTGACAAATCCAAATACTCTCTCCAAAACATAGCTGTGTTCTATTTGCCATTGACTGAAACTTTAAAAGATGCAAGCACAGAGAATACTGAAAGTGCATTTACCTTGCTGGACTTGTGGTCCACGTTGAAAGTGACGACAGCGTGCGGGGTCAGGGGTCGGCCCTCCAGCAGCAGCAGGTGTCGAGACAGCTGATTGGCCAGGTAGGTCTTCCCTGTTCCGCTGGGGCCCGACAGGATGACGCGCCGGTGCTCCTTCAGCAGGGAGACGTAGCGCTGCAGCATGGGCTTCGGGATCAGAGTGTCGAACACCAGCGAGTCCACACTCTCACTCCTCACACCTGCAACAAAATATTTATATTAAATATTTTTATTTTTATTCAATTTAATTTTCTCTTCTTACTGCAGTCTTTTATTTTTATTCAAATGTGTATCCCCACCTGGGATAAATAAAGTATTTTGTTAACTATTGTGACTGTTGGGTAGCTTTTCTCTGTAAGAAGTTTTCATACGGGAAAGCAGAGAATAATATGTTGGGCTATATGAGGTGCTGGTACCTCTGAGCTGGATGTTGATGGTGTTGCTGTCCCCCACCAGGTATCCGCAGGGCAGCAGCTCGGGGGTGTGTGCAGCACGGGCCAGGCTGGGCCGGTGGATCTCTCCGATGTTGTACCCCTCCACGCTGTCAGAGCTCAGGCCCAGCTGGCTCAACGGGTCCACATGGGTGATGTACTCCTGGAGGACAAAAAGTCTCAGCATTTAAAGGGTGTTTTGTAAAGTTTCCAAAGAGGACAACACTTGAAATGTTTTTGCTGAACATAAACATATTTCAGAATGTAATTAAGAAAGAAAGATGCTTTTAAACAACTAAACAGGAACTCTGACAAGATTTCAAAGAACTAAAAGACCTAAAAGTGTTTCAGACACTGTCTACTCTGGTTTGATATTGCTTTTATTCCTGTGTTATTCCTTATGTTTACCTTGAAAAGCCGTCGGACCACTCCATCCAGGACGTCCCACTTGGTTTTACCACTCACACCGATGCAGCCGATCAGAAAATGGCGAAGCGGGCCCTCCTGCGATACAAAGGCATGTTTGGTTTTAGATGCCTAAAAATCCTTCAGGAACAATAATAATCCTACCCAACAACAAGTCGTTTTTGAGTTTTCCAAACAGGTCTCACCTGCTCGTCCAGGCTGACCACCATCTTCACGTGCCGCCCCTCCTTCCTCGACCCCCCCTCTCCGCAGGTGTCGTCCAGCAGCATGTCTGACAGGAAGCAGAGCAAAGTTAGACAAGGTTGGTACATTTTCAATGGAAAAGGCAAGTGTTCATCTGTGATTTGAGACACTCAAATGTTATCCATCTACGAAATGGAATCACTGCAAAAAGACACTACTGTACACTAACAGCTTTTCAAAAAACATTCAAGTTTCATTTGACTTTATGTCCCATGTGTTATCCTTGACATGGGGTTGAGGAATCTTCAGTATCTCAGATTGATGTCGCAGGAGTGTTACCCAGGCTGGTGGACTCGCTGGTGGTGAGGTTGAGGCTGTGCTGGGGGAGGCCCGGCCCCCCTCCCTGGGCGTGGCTATGTTTGTGAGAGGGAGGGGAGGAAGAGATGGAGGCCTGGGAGCCCATCCTGCTGCCCTTATTCTCCACCTTCAGACGGTCATTCTCCACCTTCAGCTTCTCGATCTGCAGCTGCACACACACACACACACACACACACACACACACACACACACACACACACACACACACACACACACACACACACACACACACACACACACACACACACACACACACACACACACACACACACACACACACACACACACACACACACACACACACACACACACACACACACACACACACACACACACACACACACACACACACACACACACACACACACACACACACACACACACACACACACACACACACACACACACACACACACCATGTTAATGTATTCTGAACTTAGTATAGCTCCCCCTTCAGGCCAAATTATGTTAATTTAAGTCAGTTTAGTGCTTAAACGTGTTATTTCCAATTTCTGGAAATGACACGTTAATAAAATCAAAATCAAACCTTGGTCACTGTCAAAATAAATACAAACAATTTAGTGGGTTGCAAACTAAGTGAAGCAAATTGGCTTTGACTTTTAAGCAGTAAGCACATTAATACTTTATAGGGAGACTCTAAAGTGAAGAATAGTACTTGCTGCAACATGATTGTTCAGCAATGACTTTGTGTGCTCTGTGATTCAGTGCTGATTAATCCTTTAATGGGAAGTTCCTTAACTAATAGTTTTAATATTTGTATGTGTGCAGACCTGCATGCGGTTCATGGCCTCTCGGAGCTGGTCCAGCTGATGTGCGGAGCTGAGAGCCTCCAGGCGGATATCCGTCAGCTTCATCTCCTTCTCCCTGAGCTCGCTGCGCAGCTGCATCACCGTCTCCGCCTCGCTGTCCAAACACTCCGACAATCTGTGCACACACACATAAACAAACGCAGGATAACATGTTTAGTGTCAAGAAATATTGTGATTTAAGAAGAATTGTAAAGTTGTTCACGGACATGACTTCGTGTATAAGCCCAATAACCCTACAAGCACATGAGAGGATGTCTACGTACAGCGAGTTGGAGTGTGTGTTCCTGAGCATGTGGCCGGAGGCTGTGCTGCCGTTGCGGGGCAGCTTGGGGGAGGAGGGCAGCGACGAGTCCGTCATCTCCTCGATGTCGGAGTGGGAAGAGGCCGACTTGGGAGATTTCTTCTTGCTGAACGCTTGTTTGAAGGAGCTTCGAAGCTGCAGGAAGAAAACAGAGGAGAAAAGAGAAAAAGTGAGCAGGGGAGGGTCACACACACACACACACACACACACACACACACACACACACACACACACACACACAAACCACACACACACACACACACACACACACACACACACACACACACACACACACACACACACAACACACACACACACACACACACACACACACACACCACACACACACACACACACACACACACACACACACACACACACACACACACACACACACACACACACACCACACACACACACACACACACACACACACAACACACACACACACACACACACACACACACACACACACACACACACACACACACACACACACACACACACACACACACACACACACACACACACACACAGAAACACACTGCAGTGAGGAAGAGGAGGATTGTGCTGGGGAGAGTGGAGGAAAACAGCTGTGAGGAAGGAAGTGGGTCACAGGGAGAAAAGGAATTATGGGTAGACTGTCTTATCACTTGAGCTACAGCTCTATGCAAAGGTGGAGCATTGTTGTTTTTTTAACTATAATTGTTTTGAATATTGTGAAACGGATAAAACCAGGTTAAATAAACTGGATACAAAATTGGATATAAGTTACATTTTTGTCTGAGTCAATAAGAAATACTAATTTAGAGTAAGGACATATTTAAAAAATGTTCAGCATGATTAATTAATTTTGTTATTTGCTGGCTTTTTTAATTTGTGCTAAGCGGACAAGTGACATCTTTATAGCTTTAAACATCTTTGTAGCTTCACTGACAGGCTATCTCAACATTATGTCACATCAAAGCCCTGTTTCTGGCACTGTTCAACTATTTTCTGATGGATATGTCCTTTCAAAAGCTGGCTCAAGTTTCATAAGAGCAGCTTTCAGGGAGGATCAGTGTTGGGGAGGAGAGGACAGGCACTACGTTGGCAGCAGAGGACAGGAGGAAAAAGGAAAAGAGGTTAGTAACCTAGAGAAAGTGCGGGGGTTACGCAGCTCAGATTTCACACAGCGTACCATTCTTACCTCATAGACCTGCCACATGAAGCGAAGCAAAGGAAGACAGAGAGACAAAACAGCACGTGTTCATATGGGTGTGTTAATGCGTTATGGAGGGACAGAGATTAAACCGGAGGCCCGTACGAGACGAAAGCTGATTTTAATTTGACCTGTAGGCAGCTGCAAGGAGACGCTACTTCACCACCACCACCGTGACACAGGGTCTTTCATGATCCATTATATACTCTAAAACATACACTGCCCCTATACACTCCACATCACACTCTGCACCTGTATGGAGCCTCCTGTGGGGTCTCCTCCACAGACTGACAGCTGGAGGCACATCCACACACAGGAGAGGTGTTTATTATCACTGTGACCTAAAGCAGGAAACTCTACACGGCTCCTAACAGCTACCACAAAGCACGGCAACATCAGGATCAGATGGAGACCACAGGCGGTTAACACAACATCGCTTCAGTCTACGGGGATGACGGAGAGGGAAAGAAAAGTGGCATACGTCTTCATCGTCATCCCGGATTTGTCCTCTGGTGCACAAAAGAGTCTTTCCACAACAAAAAGGAAACGTTTGTGAGTATGTTAAATGTATTTAGTATGATCACTAGTAAGAATGAGCTGAACTAGACACTAGCCAGTAAACATTGATTTGGTCATTTGCAGGTGAGAGTATTACAACTACATTTAGTCAATTGTAAATGATGTTTTTTGACCTGCAAATCACCAAATCAATCACTACATTTTATTCAACAGGACTGTATTTAAATCCGTAGTGTATTCACCTTATCCCCAGAGAAAGTTCCCTAAATAGATAGATAAATAAATGTGAGAACAAGTGACACAGACACACATACAATTACACAAAGAGACAAAGACAAAACCACCATGAGTCCAGCAGGCTGCTTATTAGTAGCTAATCACACACAGAAAGCTATTCGATTCTTAAGGTGACATTTTCTTTGTATTCCCAGCATCTTACCCAGTTCTTCTTGTTCTTCTTCTTGTTTATTGCGTCTGTGTCCAGGTTGGAGCCCACGCTGGAGTGGCTGGTGGCGCTGGCGACGCTGCTGACGCTGTCCGAGGAGTGCTGCCTCCTGATGCGGAGGTCCGGCTGCTGATGCTGCTGAGGGGAGCCGCCGGTACCGCCCGCTGAGGAGGCACAGGGGGGGGGGGGGGGGGGGGGGGGGGGGGGGGGGGAGGTGTGTTTGTCAAATATTAGGAAATGACAAATGTATTTGATTAACTTTGAAATATCAACTAGTCAGAGTTGTCCCCTTCCGATATGATAGAGGTTTTCTTGGACTACAGAAAACAGGCTTGTTCATAGTTATTAAATAATGAGAGTGCCTTTCTTTCTCCTGCTTCAATAATCCCAAGAGTTTCAAATGTTTTCCCTCCTGACAGGGGAACATATAAACACTGTCTTAAGCTCAAAACTACAGCAAGTTATTGATGAATTGGGAACCTTGACACATTTACATTAATGATGTGACCTTCTATGTTTCATGTTTCCTGTAGATATTGAATTGCTCTTTTTACTGCAATGTTAGTGTACAGTTTTACTATTATGCTGCTGTGCTGATTGAATTGTTGTAACTCTGGCACAACAATTTCCTTCGGGATAAATAAAGTCTTATCTTATCTTATCTTATTAAAATGTCTGTTTCGCAATAACATATTGTTGTTGTTGCTGCTTTTGGTTCGGAGAGAATGTGGGATATTCTTTGTAAAATGTTCCCTATAATGGCCTTTCTCATAGACCTGTCACAAAAGTGCACAAGGATATTTTGAGCACATTCTGAAGAGTAATATAATAAAGAAAACACAAAATATAAATGTCTAAAATAAGATCCCTTTTTGGCGCAGTGTCTCCGTACCTGTCCTGTCCCCTCTGTGTGTGAGTTCAGGTGTGTTGATGACTCCGTTGATGGCGGCCTGAGCCACAGCATTCTGTTTCTTCAGCAGCTCGATGGTCTTCTTCAACTCGTTCAGCTCAGAGTCCTACACAGAGGAGATAACAAGAGGATGAAACCAACATTTCAGTGACTTTAAATGTGCACCATGATAAGTGTAAAGCCCAGTCTGTTATGCTGTTTTTACCTTCTGCTCTGCTGTTAAGGTGAGACTCTTCAGTCTGATGGTCATGTTCCCAAGACTCTGTTCAAACGCTGCCACCAGGTGAGCCTGCAGGAGGAACAAAACAAAAATATAAACCAGGTTAATGTTTGACATTCATGAACAGCTCAAATGTACCCAACACTTAATGTTCAATAATATAGAATTCCCAGCTCGAATATATACAACAGCATACGGTTTATTCGAAAACACAATTCCTCTAATCCCAGAACTTAATCAGCTGTCCAAAAAAGAATCCGTCAGGCACACTTCAGCCAAATATAACATTACTATCTCTGATATTTGGCTGACAAACATTGACACTTTAAAAGACACAATTAAAACAATTAAAACAATCAAAACTAATTGGTCTCCAAAAGTCTTTGTCTGATGTAGGTATATGAAAGGAAAGAAGACGTCTCCACTGAGCTGCGATAACCAGCAGAGACTTTGAGTTCAGAAAATCAAACTCAACAGTCTACATACAGCATCAGAAGAAAAAGTGAGTGTCAACATAAAAGCTACAACCTTGGGGCTAAAACCACGTTTTAAAGTTCTAAACCCAAATATGACATCAGTTTAAACTAAATGAAAATATAACCATTTATAAATAATTGTGCAAAATAATAGCCCCCTATGATAAATGATTATCCCCCTGTGGGACCGCTTTGGACAGTTTCCCACACTACCAACCCTGACATCATCTTAACCATAATCAGTCATTGGAGAGAGACCTATTCATTCATGCTCAAGATGACATGAAGTCATCTTTTGGTAAACCACTATTCACTAGTTTCATTATCTGCCCTAACTTGATTTGACATATTTCTGGCTCACATAGTGTGCAGGTCGTGTGAGAATGAATTGCCTTCGTGACAAAGCCATACCAAAAAAACCTGAAAGACTTTGTGGTGAGTACAAACAAGCTAAACAAGCAGATTCAAAGGGAATGTACATGGCAAATAATTACTCTCACACTCACAATACATTATTTTGCGTGCAACATTGCTTTGGTTGTTAAAAACAAACACGGAACATAGGGGTGAATGAGTTAGTATATTGTAATAGGCTTTAGAGGAATATGAATGATGAGCTGCTGCCTGCAGAGAGTGTGTGTGAGGAGAGTGTTGACTGATGTGTGTTTAAAGACGAGACTTCTTGCTGCAGAGGATGCTCTTAGATTCAGGGCCTCTGGGCTTTGAGGCGTGTTCAGATCATTCATCATCCGTCTGAGGCCCGCGTGTAATCAAATATTTGAACAGGTAAAGCCCCTCCCTCGCATCTCATCTCATTTTTCTTTCAACACCACGCCTTCATGTATCCAGGCGTTGTTAGCTGTAAATCTTCTGTCCGCATCTGCCACCGTCCCTCCGCAGTGTGCTGAGACTTGACTCTACTGTAATCTAACACCTTCCCTCCATATCTCTAATCCACGGTTTAACCACCAGTGTGCTCAGGTCGAGATTACAAGCAGAGCGTGGTGAGACTTGTGCAATACAGAAGGTAGGGTGGCAGGAGGGATCGTGTCTGGAGACGCTTTAAGAGATGTTCTGATGGTTCTGCCAGATGTGAAAGTACAGCTTCTGGGAGTAAAGTGCTATATTAGTGTATTTGATGAGGATCTCTAAATGTACTCGCGTGTGTTTGGGAATTGTTTGGGTGCTGGAGAGAGATAGAGTGTCACCATTCACAGGTGGTTTTTTCAGCCTGCTTCAAGGCATATTTTCTGAAATTATTCAAATAAATAAATAATATCATTTTCATTTGCGACATCAAGTTGAAATGTGTACTTCTAACAGATTCCTTTTCATAGATAAAAACAGAGCATTATTTTAATGATCATTTGTTTTCATTTTGTATTTCATAGCTTCATAAAAAGGCAACCTTGTCTGACAGCTTTTATGACAATTTTGATCCACAGAATTATTTTAAATCTAATATAAACCTCAACGATAAAGTGATATAAAATAATATAAAACCACATATTTTGGGCAAATTTCACAGCTTTTGTATATTTGGTCGATTCAATTAATTGCACGGTAAACACTGGAAGGAACCAATGTCCATTTCACTTTTTTTAGGAGTGTCTGTCTGTCTGTCTGTCTGTCTGTCTGTCTGTCTGTCTGTCTGTCTGTCTGTCTGTCTGTCTGTCTGTCTGTCTGTCTGTCTGTCTGTCTGTCTGTCTGTCTGTCTGTCTGTCTGTCTGTCTGTCTGTCTGTCTGTCTGTCTGTCTCTGTGTGTGTGTGTGTGTGTCTGCAGCTGCAGATCGAGAAGCTGTATGTGCCTGCTCACTCACGTTGGCGCTGAGCTGCGTCGTCAGGGCGGAAACCTTATCCTGGGAGGCGTCCAGCTCCCGACGCAATTTGCGGATCTGAGGACGCAAAACAGGCAAGACTTCAAAAAACACAGAGACAAAAGCATACATACCTGTTCCATAAAAACATGCAAGGCCAAATGCACACATACTGTACACATGCATCCAGACACACAATGGAAGACAAAACTGTGGCAACAAATGAGGGAGGCTCCAAGATTGAATCTCTGATTATGTTCAGGTTGAGAGATGAAAGGATCGTAGATGAATGCAGGAGCACATACAGGTGTAGGAACAAGAGCCTGTTACAGGGTCAGTCACAATACAGTTACACGTGTAACTAGATACAAATGTGAAGACGCCCCCATGTTCCAACAAGTCCCGCCACTGCACATAGAAAATGAAAGAGCTGAGGAAACATGCGATAGAAGTGAGGGGGGCGGGCTGAAGCTTACCTCCGACTGAGACTTCTCCTCATTCTGTAAAAACAAACATCAGAAGAAAGAAAATCATTAGAGGAGGTACTGATGGAATTGTGACATGCTTCAATGAAAAGGAAGAAGAAGCTGCCGCAGGTCAGACCGCACCGCGCACATGTCCTGACTCCTCTGTGATTTATTAGCTACATGGAGACCAGCTGTATAAACCGTGGAGGAGATTGTCTGGTGTAATGTGTCTGGAAAGCAGAGATATCCTCCTGAAGGCATTTCACTCATGTGTGTGTGTGTGTGTGAGTTTGTGAGAGAGAATCCCATTGTCTGCATACGCTGCACGCAGAACAATAGAGAGAAAAAACAGATAGCCAAACGCATACGGAGTGAGAGCAGGCAAAACAAATGCTCACACGAACACAACACACCCTGCTGCTGAAAACAGAGAAACACACAACACCCACATTTACATATAAACAAGCTGCAACGGGCGCTAAAACGCCATCTGGAAGTGTTTTTCTCGTAATCTAACTGGAGGTGTTTTTACAGCTTTTTTTAATAGTGTGTGGTCAGTTTGTTGGTTACATTTAAACACACAAATCACTTTATTTTTAGCTCACGTTAGATTTCAGTTTAACGCTTTTAATGTTGCTATTCCATGTCTTACTTTGGTGCCATCCAGTGTTTGTGTCAATGATTGTCTGCATAACACCAAAGACATTGGTACTGTTTGTTTGCTAATTAGCAGGATATATACAAATATTCTTAAAGTTGTGTAAATGATTTCAACCAAACTTGGAGAAAAGTGTCAAGTGATCTTAAGGATTTTCAAAATTCTGCATTTGCATCACAACATATCGGACACATTTATCCCACTATATTTGTCCACTTAATGCATTCTGTAGAAAGGGCCCTTGACATTTGTGTCACAATAAAATAACCAATTCATAAAAAGTTGTTAGCTGAATCCATAATCACCATTTTAAGGCTTGTGGAAGCGCTGAATGGAGCGATTGTGAAAGATGCAATGAAGCAGCTCATCTGATGATACATTATTTTACCTGTGCTTCCACCAACCACGTAAACAGGTTTCATCAGCCTGATGTGTCTGTGCCTGTATTGCTGTGTGTAAAATACATGTGTTCTGCCCACATGGCGTAGTACTGCACACCCAAACAGAGCTGTCAATCACACACACATGACAAGTTGATCCTAGATACACAAACAGAGCAGCCTGTCTGTCTTGGAAACGCAGACATAACACAGAGATCTCACTCTGATGCAAAAGCCTGGACTTTACAAATAAAAAACAATCCAGTGAGTTATCAAAATGAAGAACACATGGGATTTACAAAGAAAACAAACAGAGGAATTGGAGGTAAAGTAAAAAAATCAAAACAAATTAAATAATTAGATTGGCTTTTAAGATATAAGGGTTTTTAAAGCACATGAATCCACAGCCTCAGTCACACATGTCCTTTTACCTTAGTTTATGGATAACAGAAACATGGGATTATATCTTCCATGTAATTTAATGTTTTCACCACAGCCATTTCTTACTCCAACAGAGCATAAATAAATAAATATCAGAATGAGGTAATCTAAAATCGTCCTCCTTCCTACCGTTAGTTGCCAGGGCGTGACGGTGCCCGTCAGGGATAAAGTCGCCATCATATTTGCGTCCACCCTCTCCCCCCCTTCTTACTTAAAAAATGTGACTCTCTGGCTCAAAGGAGCAGCCAGTCCCGGGGAGAGATTCAAAGTCTGAGAGTGTTTCTGCTACACCTGCCGAGGTGAGTAGCCCGGCCCACAGAAGGGGGGGGGGGGGGCTATGCTGTTAACACCGGGCTCTGATTAGCTACTGTGTGTACATGTGGGCTGTCCCAAGTGTGCCTGTGTGTTTAAAGACAGGCCTTTTTCTCACAGGGTGTTCGAGTCAGATATCTGGATGGATTAGAGTGTAAATGTGTAACAGCTTACTTGCCAGCTCAAATACTCAATATTTCATAATTCCATAATTCCATAGGCAAACGCAGAAACTGGTTGCACTGGACTCTTCATGAACTGTGGGGACATCAGAAGCGATGTGATTTTGCTTTGCTTTCTCAAACAAGGCGGTTCAATCATTTTACAGATCTGTGTTTATTTTTATTTCTCTCTTTTTTGCCTTTTTCAGTGCTATTTGACAATAACAGTTTTTGCTAAAGAAGGAGATTGTTAGATGTTGAGAACTAGGGCATGATATGAAGCAAAGATTTTGCTCGGAATTGAACCGGGGACCTTGTGGTCAGATGGTATGTTCCCTAAGCCATGAGAAACAAACACAATGGAACCCTCCAAATGCGGTATTGAAGGGTTGTGACTTTAACATTTCCGGAGCGGGATATTTAAAGTGGAAAAATAAACTTAGCAGACCACACTATGGGACAAACACTACCCAAAAAGTAATGTTATCTAAAATAAAAACTTCTAAACATGATCAGTATTGAAGGTATACATTGCACAAGGATTCAAAAATAATTCACATAAGACTGATTAACTTCAAATGGGCCTGTTGTGTACTCACTGTAGAGTAAATGGAGGAAGTGCTGGAGACCAGAGACAGGGATGATCCATGAACTATAGAGACAAAAACCACAAGCAAAAGAGGGGATTAGAAGGTACATCTATACACAACAGCACCATGATTATCATCAACCCCCCCCACACAAACCACCCACTCCGCTCCAATCCTTCCCAGCCAACACATATCCTCACAGTGTTCCCACTTCCCACCTCCTTTCTGAACGTAATGACTGCAGCTCTGCGCTCATAAAGATAATAGTCCCACACGTTACAGTCGGACTGTGGCACAGCTAATGACAGCCTGAGCATTACTCTGTTAATGACTCATTCACTAATCACACATCAGAGGCCGGGACACAACGCAGCACTGTTTCCTGCCTGGGAGCAGATCAGAAAGGATCAGCAGCGGCGTGATGTCATCAACCACACGGAGAGTCCGGGCTGATCCCAGCCGATGTATTCATTCATTCACCTCACAGGGGGGGCACACATTGGTTTGCTCACTTTTATCTTAACGCTGGTCTAGACAGCAAGGTGTGCTGGGAGCCACATGAAAAGGGGAATATTTATTTAGGTTCACTTCTGTTTGGTTTGAACTTTACTCAACGATTGTTTGAGACTTTTGACAGAAAATAAAGGAAAAGTATTCTGATAATGGATGAATGTTTCTTCTTATTTCATTTGTTTCCAATGGCATTTCCTTGGCCATGACATGAGGATAGCTGCTCTCCTTTGTTATATATGACAGTAAACTGAATGTCATTGGGTTTTAGATTGTTGGTCAAATACATGTCAAGAGGTTTCTGTCCTAAAGATTTCAGAAAATAATATGCTGTTTTTTTTAAAAGTGACTCACATTTCTTCCTGGGTAGTTTGGACAATACTCATTATGGTATTGTATTGCAAAATGTTTTTCTGGGATCTTGTGAGATTTTATCATCAAACTGGTACAAACACGTTTGCCAGTCATGGTTTTCATCAAACATGCTTTGGTGCTTTTTGGAATTATAGGGTAATTTGTTTTGTTTTATTATTTGTGGAAATGTCCTAGTTTTGGTTTTCTTGCTTTTTTCTGACAAACATTTGATCTCTAAATTGTTCTGATTTCCAGGTTGTGCTGTTTGACATTTTATTGTTGGTACATGTTTACTTGTCGAGTTAGTTTTGAGAATCTGTGCTTTTTTCACTTTACACTGCAAACGGGACGCTAGGGAGTATACAAGTCAACATGACAATTGTACATAATTGATTTGTTGAAAGGAATTATTGAAAAAAATACACAGATTTGGTTTTCATCTGCGATTATGTAAATATTACTATTTGTTGCACACAATTGTTCCACAGTAAGGAAATAGGAACATGAAGTTATTGCTAAATACAAACACCATACATCTCAGTTTGATCATCTATCTCCATGGGATAAGAGCATCCCCTGTAAATATTGTAAAACATGGTTTCTACAGACTTAAGGGGAAGGTGAGCATATATAAAGGTGGGTGGAGGGGATGAAGTGACAGGCCTGACAAAGTGTTGGTGGATGATGTGACTTCTGTCCTGTTAATCTAACAACGGTTGTGTAACTCTACCCCTTAGAAACATACACGTATACACACACACTGCAGACCAACACACATGAAACAAAGAGAGAAAGTTGAGTTGTGTGTCATCACATCTCTCTCACTGTGATCCCTGTAATTATCTCCTCCTCTGAAAGGGAACACAGAGTCACGGAGCTGGAAAAGGAGTTAGATATATGCTTGTAGGGGGCGCGATAATAATACGTCTGCGTGTCTGTGTTATTGTGCATGTACACATTAGGTGTTGCTACCTGTGCTTTTATCTAATAGCTTCACAATATCAGGTGAGGCTCAGGCGTGTCTTTTAAAGATGAGTACAATAGATGAGTGACAGCCCATATACATGATGACCCAAAACAGTGACACTCCATACACGTAATGCTTTATTTAAAGGAACATCTAGACATACAAACTCAATTGTGTTTCCAACAGTGAGGAATAATTTATGTTGAATGTCTTTCTTGGTTATAACTAAACTTGTTGTCAACCACAGTTTATGCAGAGAATATAGAAACATTTAAATATTATTCTGGGAGCTTTTAAGTTGGTCCCTGGATTTACCATGTTCTTAAAAAACATGCAAACAGCTGATCTCCTGAGGCACATTTATAAAACCAGTTTCAGTGTCACAGGATTTGCTCTTCAACTCTTTGACCGTCTGTAATGTTGCTCTTCCCTCAGTTTGTATTCATATCCCTTAAATCTGCAGGACACGATACGTCTTCGGATCTTTACACTGTTAGTCTGTTTAACTGCACTTATGTATTAACTACATTTCCCAAAAATAATCTATTGACAACCTTGAAAGAAAGTAAACTTTTTTGATTGACCTGTTTATCACACAGTTGTGTTCATCATGATTTCTTCCCCAATAATTGTAAAGAAAGTCTTGTGGCTAAATTACTTGGTGTTAATTTTATACATTGTAATTTATTGTGGATATTGCATTTTATTCAACTTCAGCTGTTTAACATTATTTAGGGTGTCAGGCTGTATTCTTCTATTGAGAATATGTTGTTTGTACACAATAATACAACTTACCCCCCCCCCCCACCTAATCATAGTGTGCAACAGTGCTGTGTTTCTATAGGCCTGAGGATTGAGCAGACGGCAGCGGAGCACCCTCTCCTGAGCGGGGAGTCTGCCTGCTTGTGGGAAAACCACGGCAGGGTACTTTTCGCAATAACCAAGCTTACTAAAACAAAGCAGCAGCAAAGCTGATTATGGATTTCTAAAGGGATTGACTGCTTTTCTTAGAGGAGCGGTTGTAATCCGTCCTAATGTTCTCCAAACAAATGGAATTATTATTATTTTGGCACAGGGATGTGGAATAAAGCAGGGGAGGCTTCAGAGTCATAGAGAGACAGGGGTATGCAGGAATTGGTAAAGAATTACACTGTAATCACGATTTACATCAAGAATCTGAGGGCCAGGCCCAGGACTCAGAGTCAGTGAATATTCAATGCACTTATATTCATCCATCCTTTGCTTGTCTCCTCTTACCTTCCTCGAAGCCGTCCCTGAAGGAGCCCGACCTGCTCATGGTGCGCGTCTTCTCGTCAAGAGACATGCACGAGTTCCTCAGGCGGTTATCGCTGCTGGGGTCAAAGGAGACTTCATGATTGGTCAGGCTGTTGTTGCGCAGACTGGCGAGGTTGATCTGAGCTGCTGAGGTGGGGCTGGATGCTGTGAGAATGAAATGTGAAATTATTTATATGTTTATTTTTTTCAATATTTACTTGATTATTCTATAAAATGTCAGAAAACTGTGAAAAACGGAATTTCCAATATTCCAAGGTAACACCTTGGAAACTCCTGATTTTGTCTGACCAAAGCCAAAATATATTCAGTTTAGGGCAGTATGAAACAGAAAAAACTCACATTTAAAGATGCTAAATCGAGAGAATGTTTGCTTTATTAATGTCTTATGTCATTAATCGATCAATTTTCTGTGGATCTACTGATAATATTCCATATAATGATAAGCCAAGCCGTAAAACAATGCCACCTGCTAATTGTCAACTTCTTGATGGCAATGCAGTTTGAATAAACACTGAGTTTAGAAATTGTTTCCTAGCTTTACATTTTCTCTGCTAACGGAGAAGAAATGAACTGTGTGTGAACGAAGTGAAAACACAAGGAGTGCTGGGTTTGGATGGAGTGTGTGTGGCGTACCGAGCTGTCCGAAGTTGAAGCGAGTGCCGGAGGGGGAGGTGAGGCTGGAGCTGGGGGAGAACGGGGAGTTGCCGACTGATTCCTGCAGCCCGCTGGTGGAGTGGGAGCGCAGCCAATCACGGGCCTCCTCGTGGCTTCGCAGCTGCGTGGATGGGCCATACCTACAGGAAGTTAAAGACAAGGTTGAAGTGGAAGCGAGGACACAACACAGAACAAGTGCAGTGTGGACTTTTGTGTTCTGACAGGACAAGATGATTCAGATTTTTCAGTCTTTTTGCAATCAGTGAGGTGGATTTTCTTCTCTTAAACAGACTGATTAGTAGCCGGGATCTAACAAGATGAATCAGGACACCGAAACAAGGAATTACAACAGTGGGAACATTGATTGATTCTCATTTGTGGGGAAAAAAGCAGAAAGGAAGCCAAAGAAATATTTGAGCCACCAAATCAGGCCCGCTACAACACAACACAGTGACAGCTCTGTACCACCACAAAGTGACATGCCTCGTCACAGAAGCACAACACAACAACACATGTGCCAAACAAAAACATCAAAAGCATTTTTTTAAAGCATGAGCACAATCCCAGAAGAGTGAATGTATACGCAGGAAAATAAAATCTTAAGACAGAAGACAATTTGGTGAACCAGTGTGTGACAGCACAACATTTCCAGCGGGAAGTGAGGTCAGTACCTGAGTCCTTTCTTAGGCAGAGTGTTTCTACCACAGTGTGTCCCGCTGTGGGAGAGAAACACTTCAGAGGAGGAATGCAAAGGAGACAAGGAAACATGTGGCTGTATCTCTCTAACTACTCAACTAACTCAAGTCATATTTTCTTTTGGAAATCTTTCTTATCCACATTAGTACATCCCAACATGTACACTGCAAACAAATCTCAACCTTGCCAATTCTTGCAATAAAGCATACTAAGGAAGATGGATACACTGACATAAAGAGAAGTTACCACAGAAAATTCTAAAACAGTTACATTTGAATTTTTTGTAAATATTTGTATATGCTTTTTCTAAAAATAAGACATTCCTTAAGATTGAGATTTTTGCCGTGTAAAATCAATAATAAACATCCTATTCTCATGCTATTGGTTAAATCTGCTCATACAAACGCTACCACAAGGTGGCAGTATGTGAACACGGAGCACTAAACAAAGCATCCACACAAACAACCTCACATTTACTGTGTCATTAATCCCCATTCATACAGGAGCTAGAGGTCCTAAAAATAACCACAAACTACCACACAGAGCATAAAAGAAAGAATACACATAAAACACAAGCAGCTACCACACACAGTGTCTCTCTGAGCTTCTGTGGGATGCTCTCTGTGTGGCAGCAGGTGGTGGTTTAGTAGGAACCTCCACAGCTGTCTCACCAGAAGCCTAACACTGCACACAGGTACATTTACCTGTCCTGCCTCCGAGGGAGCGTGTTTCGGCTGAATAAAGGGCTAGCGGAGGGGGAGGACAGGGGACTGATGGAAGACAGGGAGGAAAACGCACAACAGACACAGAGAAAGAGAGTTTTAGAGAATAAAGTAGAAGCAGAATTTCTTCAGAACAGAAGTCAACTGCGAGACTCTTCACCAATGAAGCTAATAAGAAAACTCAGAGAGCAGGGTGAAGTCATAGCCTCAAAGCTTAAACTGCAGATGCTATTAAGTTTCCTCTGAGGCATTCCTGTCACATTACACAGGCAACCTGTCAGGATGGAATCTGCTACAATGACCATAATTACTGTGTAATCGTCTGAGGACGCCACGGGATTTTGTTTCTCAGCTCGAGCGTGGACAGAACGGCTAACAAGAAGAGACACCTCGCCACGACGGATGCTTTGTGCATCATCTCTATTCTGGATTCTTTAAAAGGGACTTAATGTCTGAACTGGGCAGGATTTGAACATGGTCAGCGACTATAGACTTGTTTAGCTCCTTCAGTGACAGTATTAATGTCAACATTTTAAAAAGTCCTTTACAAGTAAAGGTTGTGCATTCAAAAAGTATGAAAAGTAAAATAATTCATTATGCAGATTGACCATTTTCATAGCGTTACATTATACATAGAGTAAATACTTGTACTGGATTATCATTTGTACAGATGCATGCAACATGATAGCTCATGACCAACTATTTATTATTTTAAATAAAGTATTATATATTAAAAACAGTTTAGCTGGATTGAAAACCATTTTTTTATCCTGCGAGTTCAATTAAACCATGAACTCTGAAATGCAATGAAATAGGAGAAACACTATTTAACTTTTGAGAAAAAAATGAAGCATTCAATGTTTTACATTATTTATAAAGTTGAACGCAAGAAAAGGCAGCTTTGCTCAGTTAAACAAACCAACATGATTTACTGTCACAATCTTACTGGGTCTGGCTAACTTATAGTGGCTAATGTTGCTAAGAGAGTGTATGTAGGAAATATTGAAACAACCTCAAATGTGGTATTTGACAAAAACAAGATGTTACACTGAAGATCAGATGACAGAGTTTACATTTGATGTTGTTTCCAGGAAAAGGAAAACAAGGAAAGAAAATAATAATAACCCCAAAATGCCCCTTTCTTGTATCCTCACCTCTCAGACATGCCGGTCTTGACGCTGCCTGTGCGGCCCAGCGCGGACAGCGTGTCCTCCCTGTGGGTCCCGTGGCTGGCGCTGCCCAGGCTCATGTCGATAGACTCGCTGCTGGTGTGCATGCTGCTGACGGAGGGGTATCCCATGCTGCTGGCCCCCCCGTGTCCCCCCAGCGTGCTCTCCCTGCTCTGGGCGGAGGAGCTGCCCCACGTTAGGCTGTTTGAGGGGCCGGTGGAGGAGTAAACTGAGCCAGGGCTGGAGGCCTGTGGAGAGGCAGAGGGGATGTTAAAGTGTTTAGAAATCAGTGGCCTTCTGTGTATTATAGTGTTGTAAAAATGTGTCAATAATATCTATAATAATATATAATTTATTTAAGTAATTAATTAAGTCAGGCAAAAAGGCTTTTAGATTGGCTTGTTTCCTCCGGTACATTTTTATTGGATGGCCTATTTAGTACTTAAACTTTTGAACCTATTCTGTTTGTAAAAACATAACTAGTGCTTAAAAAGTTGTGAGTCATTTAATGACTGAGACATGATCTGATACATTTCTGAATCATGTGAGAAGGTGATGGTGACTTCATGACTGAGCATGCTTATATTTTGCTGCTCTGCTGCAATATGTAGCTTTCAGTAATTGAAGCAAGTACCTACACACATTAGTGGTGGAGGAATTCAGTGGGTTTGTGCTATTGGTCAGGTGAAAACAAAATCACCTCTAAGCTCAAAGGTCATGTAGTCTAATCATAAAAACACACATAACTTTCCAGTTTGACAGTTTGCTCATAAACCGTGTAGCTAACTTGGGACATTAGCTCTTAAAACACATACTTGTGTGATATATAATACCTGCCAAAGTTAGCGACTATTAGGCACAGTGGTTCTTCAAGTTAAATGCTAACATTAAAAGCTATCATTCAGCTGTTTAGCAGGTTATGTTTACCATGTTTATGATATTAGCTAAGTGTGTTATTTAGCTAATTAGCACTCAACACAAAGTATTTAAGTTTAGTTTAAGTTGAAAGTCATACAGTCGGAAGAAAAGCATTAAAGGAAGTAGACATTAGCTTAAAGTGAACACAACTTTAATGCAGAGCAGGTACTGAAATATATGTTAGGTACTCTAACTGTCCTGCTGTCTTTTTAGAGCTTTTTTGGTTGAAACAGCAGAGGCACCAAACAGGACTGAGATTAGTGAGGGGAGCAAAAAAAGTAAAGCTGTGAGGCGACAGCTAAACAATGAGCTGAAACTTTTAACTCTCTATCCAGCCTGAATGCATATTCAGTATCTTTAAGTTTGAAATAATTGATTATAACAAGTTTAAAGAATTAATCAAGTCATTACGAACCTTCACAAGAACGATATGATATATTTACAAACTTTCATGGCAATGCCTCCAATAGCTGTTGAGATATTGCAGTCCTGAAAAAGTGGTGGACCACTAGCATGGCTACAAATTACTCAAAAGCAGCTCTAAAATAAACTAAAAAGAAAAAGAAAAAAGGCTTTCCCTCTGCTTATGGTTAGTAATGGATGGGGGGCAGTTGGAAAATCTGTATACGGCTGAAAATAGCAGCGTCACTAATGAATAAGTAGCTGCCCCCGTGACTCAGAGATAAACAAGGCTACTTCAGTTGTTTTAAAAGGAGCCATACTTTGCTTATACAACTTGAATTGAAAGTACACCTTTACACCTTTTCCATATTGTGTAATCTGAAGCTTTAATAGAACAATAGCTGTCACTCAGTTGAGTGTTGGTTGGTTACCAAGGAGAGTCAAAGCCAGTAATCCTCCAGAGCTCATGGATGATTTTCTTATTTACACTCTCATGATTTACAGAGTGAGTTGACAGACAGAACGGTATTTGTTGATATGTTCTCACTCACCTGCTCGCTGCCCAGCGTCCCCATCCCTATCCCATGCAGTCTGCCTCCAAACATGGGGCTGCTGGTCTCGCTGTCCACGCCTCCCAGCCCTCCGTCGGGGGACTCCAGCACCGTGCCCACGTGGTTCATGGTGGCGTGGGGGTTGGAGATAACAGTGGAGTTCTTCATGTTTTCAGTCGTGGTGACCGGAGACTTGTTGCTGGGCTTCCCACCAAACAATCTGTGGAAAATAAGGGAGCGTTAGAAAACCGGCTAGAGTACTACTAAAAGAACAGAAATAAGGCAAATGATGTCATTTCCTAATATGATTTCATTCATTTTAGCAAATCAAATGATCAATTACTTGAGGAATTTGTATAGAGAACGATGCTTTCAGTGACCTTAAAAAATATGAACTTATGAAGTAAGTTGTTTAACTAGTGTCTCCATCTATATGTTTCACATAGCATTCTGTACATAATAACAACTTTTAACACTTAATTATTATTCATTGCTTTTAAATAACTAAGTTTGCAGGTAATGAAGTAGCTTGAAGCCTTTATCCTGCGTACATGTTATTTTAAAACTGATGCTGCTGCAAGTAGAAAGGTCATGGGGTAATACAAATCATCAGGATTTGTCCTCCAGGGGATTATGAATATTAACAGCAAATTAAACAACACATTTAACATAATTATTCATGGCTGTTCTGGATCAAAGAAGCAGGCTGGCTGATTTCCATCCTTAAGGACCTGAAGCTCACAGGACAAAAACACATGTTACACACACACACACACACACACACACACACACACAAAAAACTCTCTCCTGGTTCTCCGCTAATCCTGGGTTACAGTTAAATGGCAGGCTGCGATGACTGGAGCCGCGGTGGGCGATAATGTCAGCACACAGCCTCTTTGAAAAGTTATCACTCCCTCACATTAATGAGGGCAGAGCGCTGAGGTAAGACTCAGCTCCCATTACCCAGCACCACACCCTCCCTTCTCCACCCTCCCCCTGCACCACCAAGGCTGAGGCTTGGCAGCAGATCAGCACAGCTCAAAGCCTTTCACAATGGCCTGATTTTACCTCGATGAGCCTGTGTGTGTTTGTGTGTGTGTGTGTGTGTGTGTGTGTGTGAAACAGGCCCACACGTGTAATTCTTACTCACCCCTGTTTATCATCTACTGTGACTGCATTATTACTTATTTTAATGGTCTTCTCTTTGTGTGTTTGAGTGTGTGCTGTATGAAGGTGCATTCAAGCTGATACAAGAGAAGAACCCACGCATTATGGCTCATCAGTCAGTCGTCATTATGTCTGCGGGGTCACTGACAATACCAATGATGTTCTGTTATGCTCACCTGCGCAGTGTAGGTGAGGAAACCTGCTGTCTTCCTGTCAGAGGAACAGTCGCTGCTCCTCCACTCTGCATCACGACTCCGCTCCTCAGGTTGTCAATCTCCGACACGCCCTTCTCCCGGTCCGTCTGATTGGCCAGCAGGCCTCCTGTGCCGTTGGCCTTTGTCAGGCCCATTGAGTTTTTCCCATGAGTCGTAACTGACAGCACGGCGGCCTCAATGCTGCTGGTGGAGGAGCGGTTTCCGTTGCGCGCTGTGGCTCCAGAGCGGCTGGGTCTTGGCAGGCTGCGGTACTGAAGTGTAGAGCGGGCACTCATGGGGAGGAAACCGTCGTCGTGGTGACCCAATACAGACCCGCCATCGTGCCCACCGACCTTCAACCCTCCTGCGAGTGAGCGTGCTCCAGATTTGGGCATCTTCCCAAGGGTAGCCGAGCCACTTGTGATGGTGGCGCCGCTGGCAGTAACGATGGTTACCATCCCGTGGCCCTGCTTCTTGAAGCCGAAGGTGCTGGTAGGGGTGCGCGAGGTGTGGGCATGTGTCTGGGAGTGGGGGTCTGAAACAGTGTGTGTGAGGGCGTTTGACGTGGACGTGCGGCTGGTGGGGATGGATTGTTTCTTTGCCTCGTCGCCGCTGCTGCGCCCTGCGTCTGAGGGCGAGCGGTGTAGGCCGTTGGAACGAGGAGAGAGGCGACCCTTTTCTGACACCTTCACGTCATCTGTCTTTGCTGCAGGACAAACAGAACGAGACATTAGAGGGCCATGTGGGTGCTACTTCTTGATTTCACACCAACTCTGAGACAACTCTAAGACACCTAAAGTACATTTAAATGTTTTTATTCTATTCTATAATTTATTCATTTCTATTGATATATACTATAATGGATGTCTGTGTTACCTGAACTGTGGGTCTTGAGGCCACCCGAGCTTGTGGAGCCTGTGCTACTGTTGCTTTTAGTCCGGGGGGACGTCACCCCCACCTGAGTGCTCATGCCTCTCCTCCAGGAGCCTGTGTGGGACACAGAGGGGGTCTTCCTCCCCGAGCTGCCCTTGTCCGACTCGTCTGAGATGTCGGAGGGGTTCCGGCGGCTCCACTTGGAGCCCGGCTCCATCCTGACCCCGCTGTCTGACCCGCCGTCTGGCCTCTTCACCTCGTCTCCTGACCAGGCCGGGTGCACCGCTGTGGAGGCAGAGTGCTTCTCTGCATCTGTCACAGGCTGGGAACACACACGCACACACACACAGGTCAGATTTATTACTGCTGAAGAAAGCGCCTTTTATGAGACACAGCCAAGTGCCTCTAAAAAGCACTCCATTTTATGACCACAGCCATCATGCTGTGTAATCCTGCCAGCATCCATACCACCATCACCTGAGCAGTTAGTCAGGAAGCTGTTTGACCGCAGCACGGCCCGGGCAGAGTGGTCCACTTTACTTTGAAATGTGACAAATGCAATATTCTTGAACTAAGAGTCACGGCTTTAGTCCTTCGGAAGAGGTTTGAAGTCATAAAACAAGACAAGAAAGTGCAAGTCTTTCAGGTCTTTCAATGGTTAGTGTAAGTGAGATGACATTTGATACTTTCTTTTAAAATTCAGGGTTATCTTTAGTGTTTTTTAAGGTGGACCAAATCCTTCAAAGTAACAGACTAATAAAGCAGCTTGTTTTGTGCCATCTTACATTTGTTGTACCTTGATCAGAGACTTAACCTGCTAAAGATTGAGGCTTTATTATTGTTACTTTAAGGTCTCGAGCCTCACAGCAGAGACTTCCACTTGAGTCTATTACTCATCTAATAAATCTGATTTACAATGTCCGATCATTACCCAGAATATCACAATTTAATTTGTTTTTGTTTAAAATCTAAAACATACTGAAGGCTAGATAGTGCTGAACCAGAATTTTATATTAGCCAGTTCCCCATCGCCTTTATTTCGCTAACAGTAATTTACAGCTGTTGAAAGGAAGATGGCGGTTTTTAAGTTTATTCTGCACTTGCCAAGGCAACACTACAAAAATGCAGATCGCTGCTTCGCTCACAGAATTTGAAACAGACTTAATGAACCTGCACTGTGTAAGGCTGCTTTACTAAGAGAAAGGCTCCTTTGTGCACTCCTTTGTTTTTCTTCAGCACCTCGACCTTTGCAGCCGTAACGGACACACGTCACGTGATGAGCGGCTCAACATCAGCCACGACACTGAGTGTGCCGATACACGTGAGTCAGCTGACAATATTATCGTCTGAGCGATCACTTTCCTGAAGCATAGCAGCTCTTAATCAGTGTTTAATGACTTGAGGCCAGAGTCAACATCAGCATTAGCTTTGTGAGTCCACAGCTGTACTCTCTCATTCTTCTCTGAATGGCCAGAGGAATGCTGGCTTTAGGCCAAGTGGAAATATTTGGTTGCATCAGTTTACCACTTAAAAAATCTAGTTTCTGTTTCTTCCAGACAATATCGCAATGTGGTAGGAAATTAGGCTACTGAACTAATGTGGATGTTTCATTACAATCCTTTTAGAGACCTTATGTGGAATTAAAGGTGGGGTAGGTAAGTTTGAGAAACCGGCTCGAGATACACTTTTTGTTATATTCCATGGAATGCTCTTAACATCCCGATAGCAATGAATATCTTAAGTGCTTTGACAAAAATCCATTAAAAAATGTCATCTGTGGAAGCCGTAGCGCTGTAAAAAGCACGACCAATCATTTTAGCCGGCCCGGCTAAAATAACTGGATGACCTACCTGCCTGTCAGCCTTCCATCTGTGCACAAACTTATCTCGTGCCCTCATTGGTCATGTGCGCGTTCGTGTGTGTTGGAGGAGGGGCTCTATAAGGAAGTGGCAGATTTTCTCCGGTTGTGTATTTTCAAATTCTAGCGATCTCGAGCCGGTTTCTCAAACTTACCTACCCCACCTTTAAATGCACTGGAAAGCTCACGCTGCCTTCAAATTAAACTCATGAGGTCATATTTTCAAACAGGGAACTTGTACATCATGTTTAATTTTAAATGGTGGAATCTTTTTTGCACCTTAATGTATGGGTCCATAGGATTCAACAATTCAAATGCCTTCGTAGAGCACAGCTTTTGAACTTTATAAAAAAAACGTCCAAAAAGTTGCTAATAAACAGAGCATTTCTCAAAGGTACTGAAATAAACCATTAATGTAGACGTGCAGAACCGATGCCATGCATTTTTTCCATCTACATGGAAACACTACCCTTGATATCTCTAACAGTCCTGACAGGAGAGATGAACAACTTTTATCTGATGGAATTTCATCAATGAATGATTTTGCTATCCCAGCATGTGGCGCAATCATTAAAAAGAAGTTCTTTAATATGGCTGTGTGTGAGAGAGTGTGTGTGAAGTCTTACCTTGGTGTTGAGGCCCTTGCGTTTTGCAGCGGGTGTGTTTGCGTAGGAGGAGATGGAGGAGCTGGTGTTGATGTCATCTGTGTCGATGTTGTCACTGATGCCACTGCTCACAGAGCTGCTGTCATCCCAGCTGGACACGGAGAGAGAAAGAGGTTCACTTTATACTCCATAAACAATACATCTTTCACAGTGGAACGGATGGGGGCAATTTTGCAGAAAGCAGAGAAACACGTTTTGTTCCCCTTTGAAGAGACAGACATTAAATAACTGAGCAGACAGTCAGCAGAGACACAGCAGTGTGGTGTGATGCTTGTTATACCATGAACACGTCAGTCAGCTGACCTGAAGTCAGATTTAAGAGTTTGCAGATTAATCAAAAAGTTGTTTAATTTATCTCTTTTTTCATTATTAAATGTACAGTAAATGTGTGGTTGTTTCACAGTGATCTTGGCTTTAAATGGAAACTGAATAAGTCTACATGTGAAAACAATATTATGTAAACAGTTTAGTACTTTATTATACAGGACAGAAATTGTGATGATTTCAGTTTTTCATAAATGCATGCCTTTGTTTGGAAAGAAAAGAATACAGAGTTAAATGGAAATTAAAATAAATGTCAAAGATGGATCCGGCTTCTCAGACTGCCTGGAGATTCCCTTTCCTTTATTCTCCGTCTGTACTGACTTCAGCTAGGGTACAAACATGCACACACACCAACAGGCTGAATGGGGTTGTCTATCATATGAACAAAGGCTTGTTGGAGGGGTGACATCACAGCAGTGCGTCTCTGTGTGAGCGTGTGTGTGTCTGAGTTGTTCAAACAAACCCATCTGAACAGAGCAAACACACTGGAAGTTAATGCTGGAAATGTGTTAATACGTGTGTGTGTGTGCATCCGCCAGGAGTCTGTGGGGGACAGGAAGCTTGGCCAGTTGGCAAACATCAGTCTGAAAGGACCAGAGGGAGGCTGATGGCCATAGCCAATGCATGGTTGGCTGAACCACACACACACACACACACACACACACACACACACACACACACACACACACACACACACACACACACACCACACACACACACACACACACACACACACACACACACACACACACACACACACACACACACACACACACACACACACACACACACACACACACACACACACACACACACACACACACACACACACACACACACACACACACACACACACACACACACACACACACACACACACACACACACACACACACACACACACACACACACACACACACACACACACACACACACAGCTGGTGTTGTCAGACTGTATTTTCACAGTCTCCGAGGGTCCACTAATGATACATAACAACTGTCAATAAAGTCTTTGTAATAAAACTGGGAAATAATAATCATCGATGACACAAAAATAAATGCACACACACCCTCACTTATCACACCAACTAGGACTGCGGTTAAATATTACTTTTATCATTGATACAGTTGTTGATTTTAATAAAACCAGATTACCAAACAATACTTTTTTTTTCAACCCTAGTTTGAGTTAGTTGTAAACATGTCTTTCTACTAAATGAGGTTTTAATAAGGCAGCCAAACAAAGACTCTGCCTAATATAAAGCTAGAACATTTCCCTAAAAACAGGTTTGATACCAAACAGTTTATACTTTATAAAACTGAAAGATTTCACTTTATACAAAAAAAGCACTGAAGTTCACTACCCAGCGCTTCATATGACAGTGCCATTCATCCTTTTGTCAAGTATCATTGTTAGATGGGCAAAAAATAAAGTCAAAGCTGTGTTGTTGAGCAGCCAACTTGGAAGTCCTGCTTGCTTCCCACCAACACGTAAACACAACATCATAATTATAGCTTTCAGAAAAAGAACTAAACAAAAAACAAAGAATCGCAAATGGCTGAAAACCAAGATTCAGATGACCTATGAATTCAATCAGCTGCTCCAAGTACATGCTGTGTTTTGAACAATCTAGCTAACAACCTGAAAAACAGGGGGGGGGAAACATGACTTCCTTTTGGATATACCGGCAGAATAAATCAAAGAGCAGCAGAGCGGAGAGTTTCAGAGTTGAAAGCATCCGTGGAGCAGACAGAGAGAGGTGCTGAGAGATTTAGAGTGACCACAAGCGTCTCAGCTCATCCATACAGCCACATGGGGAAAGTCCCACACACACACACACACACGCACGCACACACACACACACACACACACACAAGATATATGGACAACCATGCAGAAACAGACATGGATACAAACTAACAAAAATCTCAGATCTTCCTGAACACAGAATAATGAAAACGTATACGTAAAAAGTTGACACACTTGCACCCTCCACACACACACACACACACACACACACACACACGCATCTACCTGGTCAGTGCCTCTGGGTTGCCGTGGGAACCAGGGCGCTGCGGGAAAATGCCAAGCTGTACCGAGAGCTTCATGACTTCATGCCGCTGAGAGTTCACACAGCCAAATGTCTCCCCCAATCCCTCTCTTTCTGCCTCTCTCTCTCTCTCCTTCTCTCTAAGCTCCTTCTATGTCTCTCGCCCTGGCAGGGTTCCTAGATTGAACTCCTTTGTCGCTGGTTGCACTGATGGTTCATCCCTCGGGCACTGTTGGTCTCTCTCTGGACTAACAGAGAGAGAAACTGGGGGGGGGGGGGGGTGAGAAGAGGGAAGGAGTTGCCCTGCCGTTGGTAACATGAGCCTCCCCCGGGACTGTTAACCACTTCACTGCTGCAGCCACGCCACTAGTAGAGCACACAAACACACCCCGAGCCCTAAATAAGCCACTTCAGCCCAACAGGAATCAAACGGCAACACAAGTCAAAGCCACATGATCATAGACAGACTGAAGGACAATCCTCATCCCGACTTTGCCCTCCTGTGTGATTCCCAGCGATGGTTTGTGAGTCTGTGTGTGCAAGACTGCAATTTCCCAGACAGATCCACCCTGACTGACTGACAAGCCAGTGCTAATTAGAGATCAGGCTAAGCGGCGTGGCCCAGCCCACAGCCTTTTGCTTGGCAAAGCAACCCGCCAGTTAACCACCGCCGAGCCCTTTACAGCCAATCAGAGTGGACGGAAACTACTGGCTGGTGGTGCCAAACACAAACTGACGGCTAAAGACCATCGAATTGAGAGGAAGAGGTGAAGGGCTTCTTACTGTCAGGCTCACTTCACCCAATAAAACCTCTTACCGTATCTAGCCATTGGGATCCCCTTTAGGACTTTTGCCTTCGCCATAATGCAAAAGGGTTGAATGGGATTTGTTTCTGGTGATGAGAGTGGTGGAAAAGCAGTTGGATTTTGGGTGAACTGACCCTTTAAATCAGCTGGGCAGTTAAAACGTTGTGAGCAAACAGAGACTCACTTCTATCACTCACCAAAGAGAGTGCAAGGCTTGTAAAGCAGTCAGAGAGGACAGTAGTGGAGAAGGAAAAGTGACCCAAATCAAGACATTCCAGAGACGAACCTCGCCTCTTGCCGGGTCCCTATAGGGAGCTTTCTGCTTTCCCAAAGGGGTCAAAGGTCAGGGGTCAAACCTCCAAAGAGAAGAGCAAAGTTGGGGGAGGCAAGGGGGACCAATAGAGGGGGTAGAAAAGGGTTTCCATGTGGATCGGCCAATAGCAGTGTCTAGAAGTGTCCTGAGAAAAAAGGCCATGGTTGTGTTTGTTTAACTTTTCTTGTGCACGTCTCTTGGGACTGCGGTCGGTCGGTGGGTTGGTTGGCCCGGCAGTACTGTAACCCCCCCCCTCCTGAAAAACCCGTCCAACGCTGGAACAGGCACACAGGATCTGCGCCGCAGAAATATACACACAGACGTGCGGCCACAACAGGGCTGTGAAGCAGAAGTAAGGGGATTTCCTGTGTCTGAGGGGCGACTACTGGTCCTCCCACTGCAGATAGATCAAATAATCCCACATCTCTGAATCTTTCCACATAAAGAGACAGACAGGCCGAAAGACAGAAAGACAGGCAAACAGACCACTTAGACTTTCCTGACTGTACAGCCCTCAGGGTTCGGTGGGAGGGGTCCCAGATGACAAGTGAGGTGTGTATATGCCGTAGAGACACATCACATCAGGACTGAGGAGCTGTTGTTGTGACTTTATCCAAAGTATATCAGCATGATCAGGGACATGCAAAACACGGTTTTCCTATGGCTATATATATTTGGTTTGCATAATGGCATGTAAAGTGAAAAACACGTTTCTAATGAGGCTAGGCCCTGATACGACATTATTATTATTTATCTGTTCTCAGTGGAATCATATCAATTATTAGAGCTTTATATGGTTTGAAACATTAAGATGTATCACATCAGTATGTGTACTTGGCCTTAGGGTTCAGAAAACTGCTTTGATATATGCAAGCTGTTGGTTATTTAGATGTTAAGATAGGATCACAGGCGTCTTTATGACCTGTACTGGATTGTACTGGATGAATTATTTCCATCAAGTGTTCCTTTTCCACAACAGAATATAGGAAAATGTAGACGCTAGCACTTGGAATTATTTTCGCTAGAGTAACAACTAAAATCTTACTACATTAAGGGTTCATGTTACTTTTAAAAAAGACAATAGAAAGAAAGCAGTGGACACAGTGTGAGGAGGAGGTATGCGGTGAAGGGGCCGCTGGGACTGGACCTGACACATAGCAGACTGGACAGAGGGGCCGTGTGGTTTGAAAATGACACAGCTGTCCCTGCAAGCAAGAGAAATGACAGGACTGGACTGGACTGGACCACACACTCAGGAATGTTCCCCCCCTCTCTCTCATTCTTTCTCTTTTCTCTTTGCCCTCTGTCTGGTCCCATTGTCTCCCGTCTATCTGCATTCAGAGACTTTATCAAAGCATTGAGATCCCACCGACTGCCTCTCTTTCACACACGTTTCCTCTGACTCGACTCTTTCTCCCTCTGTTTGATGTGTAAACAAACACTCCCTTAGATTCGACGGAGTGACCCGGATGCACGGTTTGGAAAAACTCTTCACACATGTGACACGCATCGCTGGACCATGAACTGCATGAACACAGGCACGCGACTCCACCATGTTGCATCCGGTCACGCAACGGAAAGCTATGTTTAAAGGGCT